AACGGCTTGGATTTCTCTGGTAAACCACGCATTACCATCGCCATCATCAATCCTTCACTCGGTGCTTCGCCAGCGTTCCTGAGTGCCGTGATGATCTGTTCCGCTCGGATAATATACTCCGTCATCGTCTCGTTGACCGTCTTCTTCAGTCGCGGTTAACGTCGTGTACAGAGTTACAATCCGTGGTCTGCCTCTACCGATAAAGTGTTCTCTCAAAACTTTTGAGACTTTCTCGGCCTTAGTCCTTAGTGTCTCTGAATATAAGTCCAAGACTAGTATTATCGAGAAGTGGAGCCAACGTCACAATATGCGTCCTCGTTCAGCTTCTCGTCCGCGATCCGCTCCTCCGCGGTCCGGTCTCCCGTAGGTGCTCGTAGGATCGTTTCTTTCAATCCTACTCCATGCATACAGCACAGCATCCTTTCCTCCCAGAGCTCGTATTCCTCTGCGTTCCCGTTGAACGAGGGCCATTTACTTCTGTGGGAGTTTGCCATGTCTTTCTGTGTTGTCGCTCCCGGTAGCTCAGCTTAGCGCCCTGTTAGCTTAGCTTTAGCTTCCCTGCTAAACTTAGCTTTAACACGCGGCTGCTAACTAGCACTCTTAGCGCGTACTCCCGCACTTAAGAATCATTCGTCGTTATCTGGGCCCATAACCTGTTAGCAGATTTAGACTTAAACCTTTTGTCTCCTGCAGCAGAAAGGTGAATAATCTCAGTCGTTCAAGTTTAGCCATTCATCACGGCGTTATTTATTTTAGGCACACATCTCAAGAGGCTTGAGGACAGACAGAGAAGGGGCGTGACTTCCAACGGTCTTATACCCTAGGTAGTGACATCATCAATCATGTGGTACAGCAGCTAACCAATGAACACAGTTAGTAGTCGCAGCTACTTACATAGACAATGTGGTGCACAGTAATAATATAAGTCATATACAATATACATATATCTATGTCATATTCTAACAGATCTCATGAAGTCCAGCACATATCCGACACTTAGATAAAGCATTGACAAAGCCGCTGTCAACATTTAAAAATCAAACCTCTTATTGTCCCTTTTTCCTCAGCACGTACTGCTGTCTCATGTACTGTAGTACAGGAGGACTATAGCCAGTTTCAAAATGCTCTTTGTTGATGTGAAGCTAAAGTTTTGTTGTCACAGGATTAACGGCCATCCAGGGAACTATGTCCGTATCGCTGGATGGAGACTGGAGGAGGTGAGGAGACTTTAGTTTTAGTTTAGGGTTTTAGTTATTTTTTGTCTTTCATAAAGCATGTTTGCACCACATTTCTTATTCTATGATATATTTTGTGTGTGTTGTAGTGCCATCCTAGCGGTTGTTTGACAGACCTCTTCATCCAGATGGCTGTTATCATGCTGCTCAAACAGACTCTCAACAACATTTTTGAGTTCATTGTGCCGTGAGTGTGCTGTATTTTCATTTAGGATCTACTATTAGGCAACAATGGTTATAGTGTCCATTGAATAAAATCACAATTACTTTGCATTCCTGTCAAAACGTTGTGTTTTCCAGTTGGTTAAAGAGCTGTCTGAGAAGAAAAACAGCAAAGAAGCTGCAGAGGAAGTGTGGTCACTGTTACAGGAAGGCCTGCCGTGACGAACAGGGACGCATTGAACCATGTGACGTCTGCAAACTTCGCCACTGGCTGTCTAATTATCACCTGGCCCACACGGATGCCTTCAGTCTGTTCAATGAGTTCCTGGAGATGGGTATGTCCACAGTCTGCGCTGACACTCACAACCAAAAACCCAACTCTCTAGCTCCACGAGGGATTGTATCCTTGTGCAACATCCTTGTGAAGTTCGGACACATCTGCAATGTCTGCACTCGGTTAAGTTATCTTGATTTGAAGAGTTTGTTTGTGCATGGGCATAATACGAGAGCAGACTCAAGGGCAGAACTATACAAAAACGTTTCCTCTTTAGAGATGAGATTTGTTGTTAAGAAGACTAGCAAAAGTAATAACAAATAAATAACACTTTCAAAATTAAGGAATTAAAACCCATTATCAAATAAAGGCTATTTGGATTTGCTCTCCCTATGCTATAGGCCTATAGAAGAAAAATAACTCTCGGCACTTCTACTGTTTTTACGACAACAATATCTGTACAATGAACCATCACTGTGAAAAACTAGCATCGCTCCTTTGGATTGTCTGTTTATGCTGCTATATATTAAGTTGACATTGCTGCATGAACATCCACTGGAGGATTGTTGGTCTCTCACTAAGTTTGAATGAGGTTATCACCGCTCCGTCTCACAGCCTTACAGCGAGGAGGAAGATCTGCACACGGAGATAGAAGTATAACACTCACTCACGTCGTACATACTGCATGAAAATAAAGATTATAAATATTAAACTAAATGTTGTACATATTGAAGTAAATGTCATGCATATTAAAGTGCAACACATCAGGGTCTGCCCAGCAGATCTGAATTATGATCATTTTTCGTTTCAAATCAGATTTTCCTCCAATTTCTACAGTGAGGTTGTTGATGTTTTTTGAAAAGTTGAAATCATTTCATCTTAAAGTGCTCAGAACGTCCACACTAAAATAGTTTTTTTCAGGCGGCCGCACGCTTCTGCATACGCTCACTCTAATGAAAGGCTTGAAATGACTTGCAAAAGTAGCATGACAGGTAATAATACACAATAAGCTAACATATTAATATAGAAGAAAAGCACACATTAGTTGTACTAGAATACAATATAGACAAATAAGTAGGTAAGTAAAGCCACTTCAGAACTTACATAAGTGAACATAATTCAATATGTGTTGCCTGCTGTATATAGAAAATCCTCAAGTGGTAAATCCTATTATTCTTTCTTATGCAACAGTATTTAAACAACACCCATTTCTCAGAACTTTTTTCCGTTATTCATAATGCACTTTCCACATTCCTTGAATAATTACCTTTCCATTGTACTTATTGTCCCTCCCCTCCAGTGGTCCAGTTCAGTTTCACCACCATATTCGTGGCAGCGTTCCCCCTGGCCCCCCTGCTTGCTCTCATCAATAACATTTTCGAGATCCGTCTTGACGCCATCAAAATGGTCCGCCTGGAGCGCCGGCTGGTCCCTAGAAAGACCAACGACATTGGTGAGCTGTGTGTCTGTTACTGTAATAATACATGAGAGCAGTAGCCCATAAAAGAACCTTAAATAAAGGATCACTCCACAGGAAACTTTTCACATCCTGTTGCAATAACATTCACCTATACTGAAACATGTACAGGCATCTAATGAATTTATTAAACAAACTGTATGTGTATCTTGTTTGTGTGTCAGTTAGTAAAACATCTCACAGATTGAAATGGCTAAGAATAATTGTTAGGATGGTAAGAAAATCTGCCACCATGTGATCTGAAGACTCCTGAATGCTGTTCACGTAAAGATCGTCTTTTCACCACGCTTCCTAACATAATGCATGAATCATATTTGGATGAGTCAGTTTTTTCGATGATGATGATACAAAGTTACTTGTTTTTCTTTTTTATAACCTATGACAATACCTCTCTCTGGTAGTTCCTTCAGTCAGCCGTTGATTATGCTGTGTGCAGGTGTGTGAGTGTAACAGCACTGTCCTCTGTCTGCAGGTGTGTGGACAAAGGTGTTGGAGGTCATCGGTGTGTTAGCAGTGATTGCTAATGGTTTGGTTATTGGAGTCTCCTCAGACTTCATTCCACGCCTTGTTTACCGTTATCGTTATGGCCCCTGTGCTAATGGAAGCACTTCCACACAGTGAGTTCTGTAACGGCTGGGAATAATGTATGTTTACACGTCGGCCAACTGTATAGTGTGTCACCATGATGGGTTGTGATCTCTTTGCAGCTGCATGCAGGGCTACATAAATGACACTCTCTCCACGGCTTTTGTAAGACACCAGGCAGTTAGAACTGACTTTATTCCAGATCAGATGATCACAGGCGGCTTTAATGTCACGCAGTGCAGGTGAGGAGATTCAATCCAACTATTAAAGACAAACCTGTCACACATGTGATAAACAGGACTCTCTGTGTGGTGTGTGCCTGCAGCTACAGAGACTACAGGAGTGATGAAGACTACAATCTGACTTCTCAGTTCTGGTTGGTTTTGGCTGTGCGTTTTGCCTTCGTCATCCTGTTTGAGGTGTGTACTCCATAATTTCTTCGTCAGTGCTGTCCATATGAACTGAAGAACGCAGTGAAATAGTTTCTGTGTATGTTCTCTTTTGTTTTTCCTGTAGCATGTTGTGGTGGTGTGCAAGTTCATTGCTGCCTGGTTCGTTCCCAACAACCCCATTCAGGTGAAGAATGATCGGCTGCACGACAAACTGGCCCGTCTGAAAGAGGAGCTACGGTAGGCAGCGTGCCCGAGAGCAACACATGAACCAATCTGATTATAGTTACTTTCGTAAACCTGAAGTGAATACATTTTGGAGAGAGAGGGATTGATTAAAACAAGAGCATTGGGACTCAAACCAAATTTGAAAAAGTGTATCTTGAGTTCTGTAAAAACATACTTAGAGTCCATAGAATTTGTCCAAACCATGGCTGCAGAGCAGAACTGGGACAATTTCCCCTCTTAATTAAAACATTTGTGGAACCATTTGATAGATTCAGATTCACACCAACACAATGCATACTTAGAACAGCGAAGCTATCTGAACCCAGATAAATATACCTTGAATGGAACATTATGTCAAAGTGATGCTATGAAAATAATTCCCAACCCACAAGTAAAACAAATAGACAAAGATAATAAACTAAGATATTCTAAGCAGTGGAAAACAGAAATCCAAGCAATACATAAACTAGAATGCTATAATTTTCTGAACAGAGAATTTCAATTAGCCCAATATTTGAACCAAATAAAACATCCAATAACAAGACAAACCCTTACTAGATATAGACTGATGGCGCATTTCCACTACAGGGCCTCGCTCGACCTCGCTCGGTATGGCTAGGCCTCGTTAGGCCTTGTTAGGACTAGCTCACTTTATGCTGCGCTTCCAGTACAGTTTAGTAGCTGGGGCAGTAACTCTAGTAACGCAGTGTAGGCGGAGCTGTGACGTCATCTTCAATGAGAACTACAGAAAAACAACATCAGCTGTTAGCACTCAAGCTCACAGCTCCTCATATCTGTTCAGAAACTAGACAAAAGTTAATCAAGTACAATCCACAGACTGTCTGTGTCATGGCGAATACAGTCGCTGGTTTATTTATGTCTGTATAGGCCGTTGTTGTGAGTGTGGACGGTCGGAGCATATACTGCGTTAGCTTAGCCGATCTCCATTCAGAAAACACGCATTTTAAAAGGTTTTTCCGCCTGCCGTCTGTCTGCAGACTTGTCAAAGCATTAATTCATTGTTTTTACTAACCGGTATCAGTATGTTGTTACTTCGGCATCATTTTGAAACGTGTATTACAATTAAAT